TATTTATTTATTTATTTTTCGGTGGGCACAACATCTTTGTTTGTATGTGGTGCTGAGGATCGAACCCGGGCCGCACGCATGCCAGACCAGCGCGCTACCACTTGAGCCACATCCCCAGCCCGATTTTAGTTAATTTTTAACACTGCTTCTTTAGAAAAGGAATTGAGGCTGTGTTTGTGTACACACACACACACACACACATATGCATAACAGTGAAGATGTTGCTTAATAGAGGACACAAGGCACTTAAGGGTCATATGAGAAGGTGAGACCAGAAAAGAAACAACAGCTAATGTTTATAGCACATATTGTAAGTGACTTGCCCAAGATCCTGCAGCTCCCTTATTTTATGCGTGGCAGGCCAGATTTTGAAGCCAAGCATTCTGGCTACAGAATTTTCTTAGCCCTTACATGAGATGCATACCCCTTTATTGCAGTAGGTCTAAGAAAAGTATCCCTGAATCTCATCAGTTAGTCACTAGATGATCCAGTGAACCATATCCCCCATGGATCCTTTCATTAAGACCACCAGAAAACCACTTATTCTGATTGCATTATTTCTGGTGCTGTGGCTAAAATTCATATTTTCCGGTATGAGCTTACTTCAAGTACTCTGTATTTTGTCCATTCTAGAAAGAACAATATCCTTTGAAAATCAACCTGAGACTTCCATGAGCATTCATCTCCAGTGTGGGATTGAGGGAATTATCAGGAATTTTTCTTAAAAACAAACAAAAAAGATTTTCCTCAGAAAACAATTCAGTGGCCACTACAACAGACAAATACCTAGCCATGATGCCCCAACAGACCTCATCACTGAATGCCAACATGGTAATTTTAGCTTTGAGGCTAAGCTTTCAAAGTAAACCTGACCCACTCTTGCTGTGGACAGCTTGGTAAATGCACATGAAATTATCTGACTAAGGAAGACTCAAGGTGTGAAAAGGAATGCATGCCAGTTTGCTTGTTGGAGGTGAATAACAACTGCTATGCCTCTTATGCTAGGATGGAACTCCAACTTCGAAAACATTTGAGCATGTGACCAGTGAAATTGGAGCAGAAGAAGCTGAGGAAGTTGGGGTCGAACACTTGTTACGGTGAGGTCTTCCTATAGCATCAGAATCATTAGCTGCCCAGGATGATGCAGGGTGTGAAGAAGAGACTTAAGAGGAGTTTTGAGACCCAGGTTCTGGTTCTGGTCCTGGCTGTCCATTAGCAATTCTTTAGTTTTGAACAAATCACCATCCCTTTTGAGGCCTTTGGGTTTTTGCCCATAAATTGAGGTGCTCTAATGTATCTTGAGTTAAAATGTAAGCCTGTAATAGGAGCAGGTGTGTGAAGTGAACGCAGGTCTGTTCTCTACTTGATGTCCTTTCCAGTTAACAGTCCAGTTTCTACAGAGTATCTTTATCTTGGATTGTTTTTGTTGTTGTTTGTTTTTTAATCCTCTCATCTATATAATCCTTATTTGAAAAGGGTCATACTTTTTGTCAGCCTTCTAATTCTGAAAATTACAATAACTGATTGAAGCTTCACATTCTAGAAGTGCAGGTAGAGAAAATTCTATCCTTCATAGGAACAGGTAAGTTGAGGTGGCGAGCTCCTTAATAAGAAGGTTATCCAGAAAGTTATTGGCAGATCTGAACTGTTGGCCTAAACAATTTTTTTTTTTAATTATTTAAGTAAAAATGGTTTCATTTTAGCTGTTACAGGCATCTTTTGAAAAAGGTCCTATGATAAGAAAGATAAAATATGGGCCCTCAAATGAAAACAGAATCGAGTTGCTTTATATCCAACTCTATCAAATGGGAAGAAACATTTTTTTCCTTTGAAGCTTGCCCTTCCCTACAAATCTGGTTGTTTTCTTAGAATGTGAAAACCTACATAGTAATAAGATATCCTTATGCTTTTTCCTTCCTTGTGATGGTTTTACAGAGACATCAAAGACACTACAGTGGGCACTCTTTCCCAGCGAATCACAAATCAAGTCCATGGTTTGAAGGGACTGAACTCCAAGCTTCTGGATATCAGGAGCTATCTGGAAAAAGTAGCCACAGGCAAGCTGCCCATCAACCACCAGATCATCTACCAGCTGCAGGACGTCTTCAACCTGCTGCCTGACGTCAGCCTGCAGGAGTTTGTCAAGGCCTTTTACCTGAAGACTAACGACCAGATGGTGGTGGTGTACTTGGCCTCGCTGATCCGCTCCGTAGTTGCCCTGCACAACCTCATTAACAACAAGATTGCCAACCGGGATGCAGAGAAGAAAGAAGGGCAGGAAAAAGAAGAGAGCAAAAAGGATAGGAAAGATGACAAAGAGAAAGATAAAGATAAGGAAAAGAGTGATGTGAAGAAAGAAGAGAAAAAGGAGAAAAAGTAAAACATGTAGCTTTTTTTTAATTTGTAAATTAAAATCTTATAAACTAAATCAATGTGCCACTAGAGGGTTCTTTTTCACTTTCAGTGCTTGTTAAAAGGCTGTCCTGATGAGAGCTCTCTGCCTCCGATCATTCTTGCTGTGGCATTATGTGATGTAAAATGACAGAGGGACTGATCTCCAACTCAGACTGCAGCCTCAGCTGCGTGCGTTGGGGATTATGATAGCTCAGGCTTCAGATTGTGAGAAAAGTGAAGAGACAAACAACAACATAACATTTTTGGTACTCTTCATACTTTATAAACAGGAGTTGAATTTTCCCCTCTTGAGAGATTCTTGGGGGGGGGGGTCTCTTTCTGATAATTGGCAAAATTGCTAAACGGAATGTGTGGATTCTGTACATTCTCTGGCTTGTAAACCTTGAGTTCTGACACTTCTGAACTCTTGAGAACCACACCACATTTTGGACCTGCAGCTCTGGCATTATCAGGGCTTGGGGTCCAGCTTCATGTATTGTTTACCTTCAAAGACACAATTAAATGGCTTGGTTTTTAAGTCTGTGTTCTAGTGGTTTTTGGCTTTGGGAGTAAAGGTCCACTGTCTTCAGAAGCAAGATGATGTTTAATTAAAACCGCCTTGAAGAATTCTTTTAGACATATCTTTTATGAAAGAAAGGGTCTCAGTCCTTGAAATAAAAATAAAGCAGGCAGACTGCTAGAGAACTGTCCCCAAGTCCCAGTTCTGCAGGCACAGTATGTACACCTATAATCCCAGCAGCTGGGGAGGCTGAAACAGGAGGATCACAAGTTCAAGGCCAACCTCAATGCCCTAAGCAACTTAGACCCTGTCTCAAGAAAGTCCCAGGTTCTAGGTTGTGCCTCAGATTCTTCACCTGTGAAGTAATAGATTCAAGACCATAGAACAGTTGCTCCACAGAAACACATTGATTTGCAACAGCAACAGGTCTGAAGTATATCAGGCTCAAGGTTAACTGGGATGTTACTAAGAATGGAACAGTTTCTCCAGAGTGTGTGCACAGGGCTCCAGTGAAACCAATTAATCAAGGTAACAATCATTTGACACACAGCAGTCATCTTGATCATTAATTTCCTTTCTTGAGCTGTTAGAACCGCCTTAAAAGTTCTCAACTTCACCATGTGGATTATCAATGTTCAAAACTTTAAAATAAGCGAAGTGTAGTGGTGCACATGTATAATCCCAGCTGCTCGGGAAGCTGAGATAGGAGAATCACAAGTTCAAAGCTAGCCTTAGCAACTTAGGCCTGGGGATGTGGGTGAGTGGTACAGAGCCTTTGAGTTAAATCTCCAGAAATAAATAAATAAAAATAAAACCTTTAAAATACCATAAAATAATAAAAAGTCAAATGAGTCTCAAACCAGTTCATGAAGTTATTTGTCTCAAGGTGATGAAACATCAATTTTTAGTCTGTAGACCTACCAAAGAGCTAGTCTTCTGCTGGGAGTTGCTATGTAAAGCTCAGCTTTTATTCTACATAAATAAATATAAATAGAGAAGCAGCCCACAGCAGAAGTCACTGAGGTTAAGATTCTTAAATAAGGGAAAATGAAAGGGAGTGACTCTTAGCAGTCAGACTTCATGTTGATTGACAGCTAACTGAATAAAAGAAATGTGAAATACATGTGTTAACATCAGATGGATCCAAAAATCAAGGGAATGTTGAAGAAGCTTCTGAGATTTGGTTGCCATGTTTAGAACATACTGACATAAGAAAGGGAAACTGAACCATTGGCTTTCAGGGAATGAGTGAGGCAGGTATGGGGAGAAGAACCAGGAGGCCATTGGATCTGAGATGAGGCAAGGGAATGTGGAAAGTCACCTAAGGAGTGGGTCCTGTAAGTAAGGGTAAGGTGGTTAGTGCACACCTGAACTGAGGCCACAGGATTCAGATGTGCCTTTAATAGTGTAATTTGGAGGAAAAAGCTTTATCACATTCAGTGATACAGCACAATACCACAAGCCTTAAAGCTTGTCACAGTTTGATGACTGGAATATTTATTGAGTACGTAAGAATATGAGAATGCCCAGGTCTTGTTAATATTTAAAAGTCTGGCCCACATTTGGGCAAAATTGATATTTTTCCTAACAGGATCTTTAGTTCTAAAGAAAATATTTTGTAGCCAGTAAAGCCACTAGGCACTTAGGCCAAAGTGCTCTCATTGTGTATAAAAGGATGAGCCTAGTAGGCTATTGATGAAGTCCTCCTTCTACAAAAGGCAGCTGATTTAACTGAAAAACCCATGACCCACACCTAAAATGGAAGCTTGTGTTTGTGCAGTCTCAGTGTCTCAAAATGAGATTTCTCAGTTATTTTTGAGAACTTCGAATAAGTACCCTGGAAGAAGTCAGATCCCAAGGATGGCTCTCCTCTCCATAGCTGCACATTAGCATCACCTCCACTTTCCAACATCTTCAGAGTGACTAAGAGTCCTGGCTACTACTATTACACCTTACAGGGAGTTCATTTTCTGTTTCAAAATATCTGATATATTCCTGAGCTTATGGGTTACCCTTAATGAAAAAAAATGAAAACTATCAGAAGTGGAACAAGAGTTTGGTCCAGTTTAACTTTCTTTAATTTGGCTCAGGTCATCAATCACTAAAGGGACAAAAGCTAAGTCATCATTGAGTGTGACTCACATATTATTTTTCAATGTGCTAAGCAAAATCTTCTCAAAGCAAATCTTTCCAGCAGGATTTAGAGATCCAGAATTCTACTCCAATTTCTGGAACACGCTTTACAACCATATATAATTATTTCACTTCAAATAAATTATAACACTGGGCCTCAGGATGTTCACAAGAAGTTATGAGCAGCCATTTTCTTCTACAAAAATATCTACAAAGCTTGAGAGTAAATTAGGGTTGTTGAACTACAATACACCAACAAAATGAGTTCATCTATCCTGTCTCAGGAAATGGGAAGAATATGGGACATGTTGGGAAGAAAAAAAGAAGAAGAAGAAGAAATAATTCATGTGATCCACAGCAGAAAAATTCTACAATTATCCTAAGGAATTTCATTCCAATATTATAGACAATACAGACAAGTACTGATTTGCATATTCATGTGCCAATTCAACTCTTGACATTATGCATTTTTGCCTGGGAGCAACAGAAAGTTGAGATCTTCTAAAAAATTAATAACTACTTTTGTTGGAGGACTAGATAAAATTAACTCGGAAAGCAGGGAATAAAAGTGTGGAAAGAAAATAAGAAAGCAGAAAGGAAGAAGCAGCTATAGAAGTAATGATGTTTCCAGGTCCCAAAAGATTTCTAATCAATCTTTTGCCTTTGGAGGCAGTCTGTTCTTTGACACTAGATGGCGCCATTGACAACCTCACCTCTTTGCAAGAGAAATACTAGATTCCCAGTTCAGTTTAGAATTGGGGACCTTCCCCCATGCCGCCCCCGAGGTCACTTCTTGCCATTTCTTTGGGCTGTAACCATCCAGGCAAGATTGTAAAGGGATCTGGAGAGTGTACGGGTGAAAAAAATTCCACCCTTACTGTACTCTACCCCCACTTCTGCTTTGAGGATGAATATACAAGGTTTTCTCTGCCATTCAGATTTTTTTTTTTTAATGTATAACCAAAGATTTGGGGTTTGTTTTGTTTTCCACCTATTATACCATGAACTCACAGTACAAAGGTGCCATAAGCCCAAATAGGGCTCCTTCCTATGTGTTGTCACAGAGTGCCGCTCTAGGTAGAGCAGGCTGGCTATGTGCTGGTGAACCTAGCACATTTTTTCCTTTGGCTTCTTTCTTTTTCTGATCATTTTGCTTCTTGAGTTTTAGACATGATCTTGGCTCTTTGAGTGCTTGGTATGCTCAATGTTCTCTTGGCAAGAATCTTACCCCTGTCGGTGGCAGTAGCACACACCTACAATCCCAGTGGAGGCTGAGGCAGGAGGATGGCGAGTTCAAAGCCAGCCTCAGCAATTTAGTGAAGCCCTAAGTAACTCACTGAGACCCTGTCTCTAAATAAAATATTTTAAAAGGGCTGGAGATGTGGCCCAGTGATTAAGCTCCCCTGGGTTCAATCTCTGGTACCAAAAGATAAAAAATAAAAAATACAAAAAGAATCTTGCCCCTGTTTATTTCCAATACCAACAACATGCTGCTGGGTCATATTGTAGACTCTTCCAGTCTTGCCTAGATGACATCTGAGGGGCACACCTTTTTCAACAGTGCCTATTCCCTCGATGTCTACATCGTCACCTTTTTTTTTTTTTTTTTTTTTTTTTGGTAGATTCACATGTATGTGACCAAAGGAATAACTTCATATTTTCCAGAAGGTCTACAGAATACAGAGCAGGTACCTCTTTCCTTCTCTCTTCATTATTTTGGTGAATTACTAGAAGATGGCAGTTCTGGCTGAAGGACTTTATCCACTTATTTTGATATAGAGAAATCTATCACATTTTTGCCTTATGGTTAATGCTCCTGGGTCATATTTAAGCAGTCCTTCCCCAGCTCAAAAACCCCAAACCTAGGCTCCTACATCCACATCTATTACCCTCCGCAGAATGTAATAGATGTAATTCCTTCTCTGCAGTTTCTGCAGCTTAGCACCTTGCCCACCCTGTGTGTATATGCTACCACATCTGCTTGGTGTTAGTGTGATGGGCTGCTCTTTTCACCAAAATAATCAAGGATCCTTGGTCCGCCTCATGTCCCTCTCCTCATTTTCAATTCCAGCTTTATCCCTACTTCTTACCCTCAGTGCATAAACACTCAGATCTGCCTTTGGCTGGGGTATAATTGGTAGAGCCCCGGGTTCAATCCACAGCACCCCCACCAAAAAAAAATCTGTCTTCATTGCTGCATGGATACAGCTATTCAGTTCGTAGCTTTTGACTACTCAAAGGAGAGACAGATCTATGTGTTTCCCTTCAAATTCCTCTTTCCTGAACATTCAGTAAACTACATTTGCTGCCCATTTTGCTATTAGAGAAGCCCCCAAGATTAGTTCTAGACAGTGAAAATATATGAGCAGGCTGAGAGAGGTGAACAGCCTGTCCAGCCTCTGTCCCCCTGCCTTACTGACAGGAGGGACATGATGAGATGGGATGTCACACACTCCATAAGGGTACAGCTTGATTGCTGAGTTCCCTTAAGGAGCAGAGATGTCCTAGAGATATACACTTGCCTTGCCTTAGACTTGATATAAGCATGAAATAAAACCTACTTGTGTTCAGCCATTGAGATTTCAGAGCCATAATTAACCCGACGTAATTTAGTCTACACTGGCCAGTCCATTGTAAACGTCCCCAGAAATGATTCATCTGCTCTCCTTAGATAGACCCTGGGATGCCTCCTGCTCTTCACCAACACAAAGTCAACACATGTCCTCAATGGGACCTGAGCAAGTTTCTTTTTATTTCTTTTCTTTTCTTTTCCAGTACTGGGGATTGAAGCCAGGGGTGCTCTACCACTGAGCTACATCTCCAGCTCTTTTTATTTTTTAAGAGGGGAGCTTGCTAAGTTGCTGGGGCTAGCATCAAACTTATCA